TTTTGGGACTAACTTGACCAAAAAAAAAGAGGTTGTGGAGGATAAATTAGAGTGAGAAGTGAGCCAAATCAGATTGAAAATGCAGTGTTTCTTGTCCAGGGAGATACAACTTTCGTCCTTGGAGGGGAGAGTCACATCCCGGGATGAAATAATGAGAGAGATCGTGGAGTTTCACACAAACCCATCTCCATCTACTGTAGAATCGAGTGATGTTGTTGGGAGCAGACTTGAGCGACAGCAATTAAAAGAATTAATGTGAGATCAGGGCAGTATCACTGCTTTAGGAGAATCTGGGGCCCCACAGGATCAAGCAAAAGAATCAGGAGCAAACTTATGAGCAAAAATACTTGGATGAAATAATGCGATATCCAGAAGATTGTAACGAACAAAAGTGGTTGGATTTAGCAAAGAATTTGGGAGCAAATTCGAGCGGCAGCATCAAAGGGAATTGCGTGGCATCATGATGTTTGGAAAGAGCGACAACAGGTGAAATGGGAAGACGTGTGATTCGGGGTTGGAGAAGATCGATTTGAAAGATTTTGACATGGAACAAGGAACCATGGTGGGTGGGATCCATTTAGAGGGTTGCATTTTACTATTTCATTGCCTTTTGTTGTGGTGCCTTCCAAGAAGAAGGCATGAGTAATCATTGGAAAGGGTCAGGTGGAGAAGATTAGGGGACTTTGTAAGGGATCAATTTTGACACTGCAGAGTGTTCAGGAGGGAGACAAAATGGCAGTTCTTCGTGGTTACCTCACTTTATGCAAAACTTTGGCGACACTCAAGACATGGTAAGTGCAGTTTAGGACGTAGGGTTGAGATTTTTAACTTGGTTGCTTAGCATTGAAGAGATATATGATATGGATTTGACAGATATTAACTTGATTGATGAGCTAGTGGTTGAGTTATTTGGGGCTGCGGTATTCTACATGATTGATTGGAATTTATGACACTATCAAATTTAGATGATGCCGAGGGATTTGTACAATTCAACATTCCGATCTTATGCGAATGACTATGACTCTTCTATTAAATGAAAATGATTATCAAATGATGACGCCACATCAGAGCTACACAATTTGATTAGCTACAACTTTCTTTTTTCCATCTTGAGGGCAAGTTACATTTTTGGAAGGGGAGTAATGTTTGACAAGTCGAGTCAGCCAAATATTTTTGAAGGCTTATTTTAGGTGCAAGGCTAAAAGGATAATTTAGTAATTTATTCTCTATTATAAATAGGGCTATAATATGTTTAGGGCTAGGGTTATGATGAAATTATTGTCTTGAGTTTTAGGGTTACAGTTTGATAGAGATTGCCTACCTCCCGAATTGTAGGTGTTAGGTCTAGAGATTGTAGAGAGTTGATCTACCTCTCGAACATGAGACTACCTATTGTATCTTGTTTGTTTGTTTGGAGATTAATCAAGTTAGCCTTAATATGGGTTTTCCCACATATTTCTTGTAATTTGTTAGTTGATTGTGACTCCGATTCGTATCATAATCTTTGCCACTACCATAATAGAATATATTATCATATTTATAATTAAATTGCCTATATGCTAAATGACAAAATGATTGCTTTATTTACCAGAACATAAATTTCTTATTTCACTTGTACTATGGTAGATGGTGCAACTTTTTCTTGAGTTAGAAAGATGTTATTCCTTTCTTGCAACACTTCATCTTTTTTATCATAATGATTACGTTTCAATTGAATATTAGTCTCACGTGCTCAAACATGAACTTGAATGCTATGCTTCTAGTTCTGTCTAGTTTTAAATAACCAAAAATTGAAAAACTCAAGAACAATGAATAGAAAAAGCTTGCCAGTAAAATGAGTCAGAGAACGAGAATGACGACAAGCTAAGAAAGAAAGAATGGAAAAGAATAAATGAAGGAGTTAATGATGTTTGTTCACAAATATGCTTAGATTGCATAAAAATAAAATAAAATAAAATAGAAAAACTTCATGTTTGTGGCAAAATAGCATCAACGTAATTTTACCCTTATTGTTGGTTTTTGGCTTCAATTTCTTTGTGGAGGTCTCATTCAATGTTTTAAAAGGCAGAGGGCATTGAGTGGGGCATTTTAACTGTTACAGGAAGAGACGTAAGTCTCAAAGCATCAGACACAATGATTACTTTATTTGTGAAAACACAAATTTTTCCTTAACCTTTTGCGTATAACGAAGTCGTCTTCTATATTTAAATTGCTGACAAATAATTTACTCTCATCATTCTAGGTTTTAAGCATGTTCTCATCCAATGTTTTGAAAGACAAGGGGCATTGAGTGGGGCATTTTAGCTGTTACAGGAAATAGATGTACGAGCAAAGGCTCTATCATATAAAAATTAGAGAAAAAATCCACTTAAGTTTGCATAGTATCAATAAAATAGTCACTTAAAGTGTCTCAATGTATCAATTTTGAAATTTACTGCACGTAAATTCATGAAGAATGCATTGATTTTGAATAATGAATTAATTTAGGAAAACAAGAATTGTAGTTGATAGTAAACAATACAAGAAAATATGCCAATCATGACTTCTCATGTTGAAATCTTTTATGTTTGTTAACGCACTGACTTAAGTTAGATGCATATCTACTAGAGAACTTAAAAGGTTGCAACCATTTACATATTGTTCATTGTTGATCCAAGATTAGACAATACTTAACTTTTGGCTTTATCAGTTTACATGCAGTTTCTCTTGAAATTTTTACTCCCTCGCTTTGTAATACCTTTTTAAATCAAATCTCACTTTAGCATTGTTTTTGGTTTCACCCTTAATATCTACCACATGTTTAAAGATATTATTAAAAGAGTTTTTTTTCAATATAAACGACATCGAGTTTTTGTCTAATCAACTTAGTTCTCTAGTATGGTAGGCTTTAGAAAATACTAATTTTTTGTTCAATTATGTGTAACATCTAAGTTAAGAAGACATTTTGAATGTGGTTCTAGGGAATCATTAATCTCCAAAATTTCACTAACCTTCTGCCATAAATCCTCCCTAATTATCATCGACGGAGGACTAGATTTTCAACTCTATTTTTTAAGAAGACGTATTTATTCCTTCTGAATAAGTAATCAGCGGGTAAGAACATTTGATGACAGCCTAACAATATATTTTTCCTTTCATGCTTTAAACTAAATGCCTTTGACAAATCCTTACAGTAAGACAAATTAATTTTCCCGCAGTCACATATGCTGGATAATCTCTTATTATTCACATCAGGACAATTTTCAGCTGAAAATTTTGTTTCGTAGCAATATCATAAGTCACCACGCATAATTCATATAATGTTTGAAGTTCATCTATTAAGTACACATCAATTTTTTGCTTGGTGCTATGTGGACTTGGTACGATCAACGTCATAAATAAGAAAATGTGTGATCATGCATATATCACGTGGTAAATTATATGATGTAAAAATCGTTGGCCAGCATGAGGGGTGATGCATCCTGACTGTATGATGCGAACTCATTTGCATTCAAGTCAAGTCTAATGTTGTGTGATCGGCTGCAAATTTAGGATAAGTATGATCAAAATATTTTCAGGCTTCTCTTTCTGTCAGATGACTCAAAGAACTGGTATCATCAAATTTGTTTTGGTGTCATGTCATGTGAAGAGCTGTACACATATAGTTGAAAAACCTTTGAAAATGAGGACTAAGAGACAATTAAAAGAATACTTTTAAGAAATATTTTTTTTGTTTTTAAGCTTTTTGACCATGTTGTTTGAATCTCTTAACACCACAAAATCTTTATTACATCTCTGTTGAATCTGTCCTATACTATAACATTAAGTCATTAAAACAACAATCTATCTTCTCAAGTATCAATCATAACTTTGACACTAATTTATTTATTTTGTAGATGTTGATTTGCTTCTTCAGTAACACACCGACTTGATTTCTATACATATTATAATCTGATTTAATGTATAATATTATAAACATTGTTGATAACTGTGAATGCTTGGTGCAACTTTTCAGCAAAGGCTGTTGTGCTTCATCTAATAAATTGTAAAATCTTTACTTTTCACTGCTCCGTGGTTGATCATCCTTAGAAATGTTATTAGCAAAATGAGCCCTGCTTGCATGAAAACCATATCTTCAAATGTGCTAGTATCATATTCAGTTAGAGGGGCAGAATTTGATGAAGCATCAATGTGATCATACTCAACATTTGGTTCATACTCTCAATGTGTTGTCCATTTAATAAATAGGTTGAAATAATTTACAATTCAAATTTAATTTACTTCGTATGGTGTTGGGAATGTTTGTTTTATATGCTTCACACATGAGCATTGAAATTTACCATTTGAAAGGTGAATGTGAATTTGTGATACCACTTACACAAAATATTCTACGTCATTCAAGAACTAATCAGTGAGTCTTTTTCTTCCTGGATAAAATCTATTATACATATTCAATCATAAATCTCAGATAATCATTATCGCTGCCAGAGCCCTATTATCGGCGGAGCGGAAGAGAGAAATGTGAGTAGTGCCAGTGAGTGTGGCGGGATCAGGTTAGGTTTAAAGAAGTTGACATCGAATTATTGACTGCAATTTCTGTCGCTACTACTTTGCGGTGGAACTTTCTCTCAGTAATCTATCCCTTTTAAGCAATGTGGCGGACACTGCAAACTCGTTTTCCTCCTCAATAACTTTGTGGATGAAATTTCAGCCTCATATTTGAATGCTAATTATTTCTAATGCAATTCAACTTCTGCAAAATAAACGTCGGTGTATTCCTTTCATTTCAAAATAAAATTTTTATTTTCATATAGTATCTATTTCATCCTCAAATTTACATTCTGAAGTTGGCAGTCCTTAAGCACAAATTGTTAGCTTTTAGCTTAGGCCCTTGTTATTTAAATGATGTTTCCAACTCCAAATTAATTGGTATAAACGTACTGATGATGATGATTTACATGAAAAAAGGACTTTGTCAATATATTGCGATATTTCTAACCAAAACTCTCTCTCTCTTGCAGGTGGCATGATGCTGGAACTTATGATAAGACAACAAAGACAGGTGGCCCCAATGGGTCTATTAGGTTTGAGGAAGAGTACAGTCATGGATCCAATGCTGGCTTAAAAATAGCCATAGATCTCTTGGGTATGCTCTACTATCTTATTGCTAAACTATATCTATGTCATTCATGCTGACTAACTTATATTTTATTTTGGCAGAGCCGATAAAGACAAAACATCCAAAGATTACATATGCAGACCTTTATCAGGTGAATACAGTTAACCAGCATGGTTTAAGATCTCTGTTTCTCATATTCTTTGCTATGTGATTTCCGGGCTTGCAGAATTATAAATGTTGACTGAAGGAAGGCGCAAAATTTAGTGATTGCAATCTGTTAAAATTTATTTTTTGTGATTATCACAACAACTTATGAAATTCCAATTGCACTTCATTTGTAATCTTGGTTAAATTTTTTCATATTTTTCTTTCCATTTATATTAGATGTTCCCCGTTTTTGTTTCATATTTTTTCAAGCCAAAACTTAATTATAGCACATCCCTAGTTTTGGAAACTCTTCTGTACATATCTTTATACATTTCGGGTTTCCCTGCCAAGGAGTTTTTGATACTTAAGCCCATGTTTTTGGTAACATACTGTTTATTAATTTTTTTTCTACATTACCCTAACAGAAGATTGAAGTACCAGCTAGTCATTCTACGTGGGCAATGCATGTTCATCTGTAGTCAATAAACACTTTTTATTTGTAAGTATAGTTGACTTAGATTGGTTTGAATTAAGCAAAGGCTAGTGGAATCGTAGTCTTAGCTTTTTGTGTGTAAGCTTAGGTTCATTTAACTCATAAAAGAAAACTTTTTGCACGTGATCACTGCATTTTCATCTTTAATCTCAATTGAGCAAACAATTGCAAACTCGGAGAGCCAAATGTAGAAAAATCTGCTAAATTACTAGATCTAGATTATGTTCCAGTCGGCCTTTGCGTGAGGGCTAATGTTTCAGCAGTTTTGATCCCTAAAAACTAAGGCTTTATTTGGTATTTAATATAATTGGAGGGAATATAATGTCATTTTACCAGAAGAATTTTTTGGTGCTTCGATTGCATGTAATTACAAGTAATTGGGTTTTCTTGGAAATCTGAATCGATGTAGTTTTCCATTGACAATCCCTTACCCAACTGATGCACGACGTGGATTCCGCGCCTGTGGAATTGGTGAAGGGCGTGATTGCAAAGGGAGTAGGGCCGAACAAGCTGGGTTTCCTTTTTCTGTACAAATTTCCTTCTTTCATTTAATTTTTTTCTAGTTCTTTCCTATATGTGTTGTATTAGGGTTTAAATTTTAATTTTTGGCGTGAATTTATTTAGGACAGCTGTCGACATCCATTTTCTCTCTTCGAGGTTTGTGTCCGAGAGTTTGGGTGGCACTCGAGCTGTATCTCTTTCAAAAAATAGTGATTATCTTCCCCATCCCCTTCCATATCCTCCATGCGTCGCTCCCAATTGCCCTCCATGCTTCACTCAGCTCCCAATTGCCCTCCATTGCTGCAGTCGCCCCAAACAGTCGTCGTTGCTTTTTCTCTATTGCTTTCCTTGGCTACAACCTTTTAGAATTTTCCTCCCCCGCTTTTGCGGCCAGTGCAGCCGCTCCTACTACTGTCTGCCGTTACCTTATCTACTGTCCAACCCTCCCCTATAGCCATTTCCGATAACCAGTAACTCTTCCAACCACCCTTGCCACCATCCACCACTACTTAGTTGTTGTCCCACTCTTTTACCACGCTAATCCTTGTTGCTGGTCTAGCCACCTCCCCCACAGCCTAGTTGTTGTTCCCCGCCATTATCTTGTTGTTTTTCAGTTGTTTCTATCTTATTTCTGTTTGTTTACACCCAGGACAGCAAATTTCCATCGGCAGGTCGCTGTTCCCTAGCATTTCACCACATCCTTACCTTGCCGCCACGTCTCCAAGCCCCCTAACGGCCGCCACGTCTTCAAGTCCCTAGCCGTATCTCATGTATCGTGTTGTTATTTTCGTTCCCGTGTGTTGGGTGTAACCGTCCATTGACTTTTTCAGTAATAATATCGGTTTGCTTATTGTTGTTTGGGTTGCCTCTGGTTTTATTTGGTATTATAACTAGTCTAACCCTAGTCCTAACTTAGGTTTTTAGCATCCACAAATACCCAATCCCAACTCCACACAAAATTCCTTCCCTTTGCTGAATTTTCAAAACAGTCACCCAAAAATTTTCTTTTCCACCCCATATCTTTGTACACCCTCTTCCACTTACCCAATCTCAATCCCAACCCCAACCACACCATCAAGGATACAATCTCCAAAACTTGATCAGGAATTTCCATGGATGGCATTCAATGACTCGATGCCATTGAGAAATGACCTAGGGCGGGATCACTTCGATCATGATAGTGAAATCTGTGAAGGAGAGCGAGAAGATCATTTGAATCCCTTTCTTAAGGATTATTTCAATGGAGAGGAGGATCAACTAGGGTGCTTTGGAATATAGTATTAAAAGAGGCCGAGAGATGAAGCGATATTGGAATTAGCTTAAACAATAACAAATCAATTATATTATTGTTGAAGTTCAAATGAGAAGTTATAAACAATCAACTCAGATAGGAAATAACATGTCACTCTAAAATCTGAAATTGCAACAAATGAAAGCACTAACTCAAACTTGGGTGGATCTTAGGAGGAAGGTGGTGATCGATGAAGGTTTGGACCTTTAGAGAGGTAGAAAAGGACGGTGCATTGGTTGGAAGGTAAGTTGACAGCTAAGGGGAGTTAAGAAACTGCTGGAATAACGAGAAGGCGGGCTTTCCTGGGCAGTGGAAGCAATGGCGAGGGGCTGGGCAGCGACCAAACAACAAGAGAGGTGCTATTATGGACTGCGGTGGCAAGGGAGGAGGACAGAGGCAGAAAAGGGGAGGAGTTGTGGCAATGGTAGCAAGTTGAACAGATGGCTAGGTGGCTGGAATTGCAGAAAACAGTAGGAAACAACTCTTTTCAAGCACTGCAACGAGGGCGAATGCCGATAACAATGACGGGGAATGCAAGGGGACCTCAAGACAACAAGAGGACGGTTATTCGTGGTGGCAAACAAGTGTCTGGAAGTAGCGAACTGCAGGAAATACAACAATATGTGGTTGTTATAGGCGGCTGCAGGAATGGAGGGCGGTCGAGAGTAAAGCGGGGAGGATACAGAAGGTGATAGAGAGGACAATCACCACCTGGAGACCAAGTTACAGCCAAAGCACAACCTGAAATCCTCAGATATAGCCCTCAAAAGGAAGAAGAGATACCAGCGGCTCTCCCGATATAAAATAAAAAAAAATTTTACCCCAAAATACGAAACCATCATATTTATAGGCTTGGGGTAAATAGGAGTGGGCCTCACTCTCAATAGGAGGGAAATCCACAAAAGGAAATGTCGACCAACCCTATTGAACTGGTCCGGCTCGCCATATCCCGCGACTATTATAGTCAGGGTTGTGGATGGCCCCCTTTGCAACAGCTTTCGCGCCAGTTTCTTGGGGTTGGGAGAGCTTCAGCCTCATCTGTCGAAGCTTTTATGCCCTCATAGTATAACATTAGATCCCGTTGAAAGTAATAGAAATGTAGCAATCTCTTGGTAAGTCAGTTATCTTTGCGCTGTCATTCTAAAACACATTTTGATAAAATAAATATCCATATTCTTTTGACACAATCTGAGCTGGGCAACATAACCTCCTAGATTTTCATAATGTAACTCCCGAGCCCTTAGATTTATAATTTTCTTCTTTTTTCCATACTCATTTGATTATATTTGATAAATAAGTGTATAAGGAGAAATCAACTCTAGAATAACATCTTGGACTTGCTAGGCCACACTGAAGAATAATCATTTAGGAACTACATCTTTATCATATTTTCTGATAGGGTTGGATCCTACTATAGAATTTTGTTCCCATTAAGCTCATAAGGCAATTTCCATCACCGCGGGTCATCCTTGTCTGATCATCTAATTGTGGATACACTGTTGGCTAGCTATACTGCCCAAATAACTCCATATAGTCTTCTTGAGGTAGCTCCAAAGCTTTTCATCTCTGATATGTTAGACCTCTCTTAGTAGAGGCAACTCAGGAGGGAGGTTATATATCTGAAAATTCTGAAATCTTCTTATTTGAAGTTGTCCTATGTCGACTTGTATCGGCTCAAACTTATGACCCTTTTGGACATCCAATGTCAGTCTAGTTGCTGCTACTTCGAATGGTTGCAATAATGTAGTTCGAGGCACCATAACCTTATACTCTGCATGAATGCCTATTTCTTCGGACTCGATATCTTCTAGAATAGCTTCGATTGATCCAATCAGAATCCTTGTCTGCTTGATGTTGAGGTTCATCTTTGACATCTTCATATTCTCCTCTCTCATTGTTTATTTATTCAACTACTCCCATCAATGAATCCTGGTTGTGCTATTTGATTCAATATGCCGAAATTTGTGGCACTTGAAAAACTTTTTGGCTGAAACCGATTTAGGAATATTGTTTTATTCCACCTATTCTCTGGTCTGAGTCAGTTTCTCCTTAGGTGGGGTTAACTTGGATGTTCGCCTGGATGTACTTTGGCTGTAAGATCTTGGTTTGAACTGTCTGTAAGATGTGATGATCATCCAATAATGTTCTTTCTCCATTTTTGAAATTAGGGTCTGCACGTTCTGTCTGAAATGAACTGGTAGGTATTGACACTACATCTCTCATCTCACAAAGTAGTGATCTTATCTTTTCTCCCACTCTGGCGTTGGTGCTTCAAATTTTGCTAACAAAATAATGTACTCTTTTTTAACTTGCTGGCGGCTAGTTTCAGTATTTCGTCTGATCGGACTTCTTGATAGTCAAAGAAAAGTTTCATGGTCTGAAGCCATTCAATAAACTTGTCCAAATCTAAGTGCCCATCAAAATATGACAAATCCACTGTTACCTCAAAATCCTGGTTTCTATATTTCAGATCAATTCTTTAGGATAGAGACTCTTCATCTCTATAATCTGTAATAGACACTTCACCTTTGTATCCTCTGACATACACTTCATCTATGTATCCTCTGACAAACACTAACACTTCATCTCATCTCTGTAACTGATTGGAGTTCGGGTGACTCCAATGAATGATGATCTTTCCTTAATTTTATCGAGTCGTTGTAGCAATTAGTGTAGTTGTCGTTGTTTCTCTTTCATTTTGCTCTTAATTGGGGTTTGA